ATTCTAGTGCCCTGGGGCACGCCAGGGCAAGAGAAGGATATACCTAGACAGGAGCAGATCATGATAAAAATTAATTATAACGAAATTAGCGGAGAGAAAATTAGTATTATTAAGCTGAACCAGGACCAAATTAAGAAACAAAACTTAACTTAGAGCAGATATAATGACAAAATTATACGAGTTTGTCCGTACTCCGGCTGATAATAAAACTGCGAGTACCAAACATAATTGGTACATATACATATATATATTATATATATATATATATATATATATATATATATATATATAATTTATATATATTATATATATATATATATATATTATATGCAAAACAACCACTGTGAAAGAACAGTAAATTTCAAGCGTTTTCGTGAATTCTCACATTATCAAGGAACTATATATACATAATATATATATATATATATATATATATATATATATATATATATATATATATATATATATATATAGTTCCTTGATAATGTGAAAAATCACGAAATCGCTTAGAATTTCTCAATTCTTTCACAGTGGTTGTTTTGCATAATCTGAAATCACCTGTTTACTGTGATCTTATTGCATATATATTATATATATATATATATATATATATATATATATATATAATATATATATATATATTATATATAATATATTTTTTATTATTATCACACCGGCCGATTCCCACCAAGGCAGGGTGGCCCGAAAAAGAAAAACTTTCACATCATTCACTCCATCACTGTCTTGCCAGAAGGGTGCTTTACACTACAGTTTTTAAACTGCAACATTAACACCCCTCCTTCAGAGTGCAGGCACTGTACTTCCCATCTCCAGGACTCAAGTCCGGCCTGCCGGTTTCCCTGAATCCCTTCATAAATGTTACTTTGCTCACACTCCAACAGCACGTCAAGTATTAAAAACCATTTGTCTCCATTCACTCCTATCAAACACGCTCAAGCATGCCTGCTGGAAGTCCAAGCCCCTCGCACACAAAACCTCCTTTACCCCTCCCTCCAACCCTTCCTAGGCCGACCCTACCCCGCCTTCCTTCCACTACAGACTGATACACTCTTGAAGTCATTCTGTTTCGCTCATTCTCTCTACATGTCCGAACCACCTCAACAACCCTTCCTCAGCCCTCTGGACAACAGTTTTGGTAATCCCGCACCTCCTCCTAACTTCCAAACTACGAATTCTCTGCATTATATTCACACCACACATTGCCCTCAGACATGACAATCTCCACTGCCTCCAGCCTTCTCCTCGCTGCAACATTCATCACCCACGCTTCACACCCATATAAGAGCGTTGGTAAAACTATACTCTCATACATTCCCCTCTTGCCTCCAAGGATATATATATATATATATATATATATAATATATTATATATATAATATATATATATATATATGATAACTGAAGTATAACGAACATTTGTCAATGTTTAGTAATAACCCACATGGAGACAGAACAGGTTACTTGATCTGTATATTTCGATCCCGTCCTGGGATCCTCTTCAGCAGTTACATAAGTGAAAGGAAAACATATATATGCAGGGAAGATTGCATCTCACCCCGTACCAGGACGTGGCACGTGGTGGGACGTGGCACGTGGTGGGACGTGGCACGTGGTGGGACGTGGCACGTGGTGGGACGTGGCACGTGGTGGGACGTGGCACGTGGTGGGACGTGGCACGTGGTGGGACGTGGCACGTGGTGGGACGTGGCACGTGGTGGGACGTGGTACGTGGTGGGACGTGGCACGTCGTGGGCCGTGGTGGGACGTGGCACGTGGTGGGACGTGGCACGTGGTGGGACGTGGCACGTGATGGGACGAGGTACGTGGTGGGACGTGGCACGTGGTGGGACGTGGCACGTGGTGGGACGTGGCACGTGGTGGGACGAGGTACGTGGTGGGACGTGACACGTGGTGGAACGTGGCACATGGTGGGACGTGGCACGTGGTGGGACGTGTCAAGTACTGAGTGGGTAAATAAGTGCCGAATAGGTAAAACTCGCGATTTTGGCTTAAATAGCAACGCTCTTCTTGCCGAATAAGGCAGCAAAAATCTGTGTTTGTAGTAATTTCGCAAAAATCATTCTGAACCTAACGACAAAAAAAATATTCCATTGTGTTTGTTTATTATTAAATTATTGTAAACAAATCTAAAATATATATAGTTAGATTAGGGTTATAATAAGATTATTTATGATCTGGATTTTCCAGTAGTACGTTCGTTTGCTTCAGTGGGACCTTGATCTTGGTGTAAGGTTCTTGATGGTAGCGAGGGGCTCTTGATGCTGAGGGAAATTATGTTGGGAAAGGGCTTGACGGGGGAGGGTTAGGGCTCTTAATATTGGAAAAAGGGGGGCTCTTGATGCTGAGGGAAATGATGTTGGGAAAGGGCTTGATGGGGGAGGGTTAGGGCTCTTAATATTGGAAAAAGGGGGGCTCTTGATGCAATGACTCACACCACCTTGTTCTTCCACGGAACAAGCGTGATTTTCTTCTTCTCCAGGCTCACTTATTACCCATGAGAGTTTAACTCTCCCTGGCCTCGCACTCGTGGCCTCGCTCTCTCACTAGTTACCTCGCCACGGACGCGGAAGGGGGGGGGGGAATCCATGACACACACGTACGCTGGTCCCCGCCCACGGACGCCATTTTAGGTCTCGAGTATATTTGCTGGTCCTTATATGTACGTAAGCTCCATTCATTCTCCCTGGATGCTGGGCCGGGCCATCTCCCAGGCCCTCAAGGGCCCTTGATGCTCTGACAGGGGTTCTTGATCAATGGAAAACGAGTTGCCTGAAAATTCCCCCAACGAATTTTTTCATGCAATTTTTTGAACCAGGTTAAATAGACTGATATTGTGTTATGATAATTTAGCAAATATAAAACCAAGTTGATGAGTTACATTCATTGAACAATTAAATAATGTATTATTAATAATTTGCATAATAATATTAGTAATTTTAAACCATTGATGCACAGTGATACCATTAATATTCTCGGTACTGTGTACCATTCAAGTACAGTGATACCATTAATATTCTCGGTACTGTGTACCATTCAAGTACAGTGATACCATTAATATTCTCGGTACTGTGTACCATTCAAGCACAGTGATACCATTAATTTTCTCGGTACTGTGTACCATTCAAGTACAGTGATACCATTAATATTCTCGGTACTGTGTACCATTCAAGTACAGTGATACCATTAATATTCTCGGTACTGTGTACCATTCATGCACAGTGATACCATTAATATTCTTGGTACTGTGTACCATTCAAGTACAGTGATACCATTAATATTCTCGGTACTGTGTACCATTCAAGCACAGTGATACCATTAATATTCTCGGAACTGCATACCATTCAAGCAGTGATACCATTAATATTCTCGGTACTGTATACCATTCAAACAGTGATACCATTAATATTCTCGGTACTGTATACCATTCATGTAGTGGTACCATTACCTGACAACATAATTTAAGACATAACAGTCGGATATGAGACACTGCAGCGGAATTAAACGAGTGAAAATAAAAACGAATCACCATTGCTCGTACGGAAGCTTAAAATTCCCTACATCAGAAACTCGGGTCACCTTTCCCTCCCTGAGGAATAATGGGAAACGAGAGGGTGAAGCAGATGGTTGGTGTGTCCACCCTGAGTCACGAATCAGAGAGGGAGTCTTTGAGGGAGCCAGCTAGTGAAGAAAACCTTCCATCTGGATAGATTTACAACCCCTAGACGAGGGAGAGGAAAAATTGACGGCGATGATTGATAATGACTGCCAGAGTGGAATTTACGTCTCTCGGAGAGTGGCTTGGTCAACCTTAAGAAACGGCATGTGGCTGTGATAACAGATGTGTGTTGGTGTTTGTTTGGTGTGTGTTGGTGTGAGTGTTGGTGTGTTGGTGTGAGTGTTGGTGTGAGTGTTGGTGTGAGTGTTGGTGTGTGTTGGTGTGTGTTTGGTGTGTGTTGGTGTCAGTGTTGGTGTCAGTGTTGGTGTCAGTGTTGGTGTCAGTGTGGTGTGTGTTGGTGTGTGTTGGTGTGTGTTTGGTGTGTGTTTGGTGTGTGTTTGGTGTGTGTTTGGTGTGTGTTTGGTGTGTGTATTGGTGTGGTGTGTTGGTGTGTGTTAGTGTGTGTTGGTGTGAGTGTTGGTGTGTGTTTGGTATGTGTTGGTGTGAGTGTTGGTGTGAGGGTTGGTGTGAGTGTTGGTGTGAGTGTTGGTGTGAGTATTGGTATAAGTGTTGGTGTGTTTAGTGAGTGCTGGTGTGTGTTGGTGAGTGCTGGTGTGTGTTTGGTGAGTGCTGGTGTGTGTTGGTGAGTGCTGGTGTGTGTTTGGTGAGTGCTGGTGTGTGTTGGTGAGTGCTGGTGTGTGTTTGGTGAGTGCTGGTGTGTGTTGGTGAGTGCTGGTGTGTGTTTAGTGAGTGCTGGTGTGTGTTGGTGAGAGTATATATGGAGACAAGGGTCTATCTGGAAAGTGGCGGTGTTCAGTTATTCATGTTAGACGTCTAGCCATAACTACCCAGTCCATTCATAAGAACACGCACACGCACATCATCCATAAGACCACACGTACACACATTCAGGCCTTCTGGTGGATCAAGCTGGCTGTTACTGCATCTTTCTCACCTACGTTTCACAAAGTACAGGTAGAGGCATTTCTCAAGGAGCCACCAACAGCCAGGCTGAGGGACTGATTACCTCAACTCCTGATCGTCACCATTCTCCTTTGTATAGGACTGATGAAGTCACTGTGTATTAAACGTTTCCTTAAGATACCCAAGTGTTGCACTTGTGTTTAATTTATCAACTTGTCGGTTCTCTGGACCGTTTATCTAAAGTTTACACTATGTATGATAACTGCACCTGTGTGTACCTGTACCTGAATGAGGTTACTAAAAAGAAAAAGTCCAGGGGGGACTTAACGGACTCTCTCTTATTATAACAATATTAATACACTGGTTTTATTTTCTTACAGGTTGAATTAAAGAGTAAAGTGCGTGTACCAACCTTGTGTGTATGTGAAGCATCATTACGACCACACCAACATCATCACACAGCCTCCACCACAGTGCTCCACCACCACCTCCATCACCTGCCGCAGCCCACCAAGATGCCCTCGGGGCCGCATGCGTCACGCATAGTGCGGAAGTACCGCAGGTCTCGCCTCAAGAGAGTCAAGAAGCAAGAGTACAAGAAACTGAGGGATATGGTTCCAGCGCTACAGGAGCGTACCATTGTAACCAAGGTTGGTATCTCTTGTTGTTACACCCCCCTCCCACCACCTAGCTCCTCGTCCTTGGATCAAACCTGGCTGCCTTCCAATCTAGCAGGAACTGGACTAACCTTTGTACTCTGTCAAGGATGGGGTTCCTGATTCTAAGTTCAGTTGAACATTTCTTTCCAGGACTGAACCTCACAGCCTTTCATAATAATAATAATAATAATAATAATAATAATAATAATAATAATAATAATAATAATAATAATAATAATAATGCAATACTGTTACTTCTACTACTACTACTACTGCTACTACTACTACTACTCATACCTCTATCACTACTACTGCTACTAATAATAATTTTCTGAGAGTGAGGCCTTGTTTAGGAATGCAGGAGAGAGTGGGGCTACATTCCACTCCATATAGACCTTAGACAGGGATGCGTAATGTCGCCATGGCTGTTTAACATACTGATAGATGGGGTTGTTGAGAAAGTAAAATATACAAATAACCCGCACATAGGACAGAAAAACTTACATTTACAAAGACACACTAACACAAAAGAGTGAGGGAGGCAGTATATATAGGCGAGGGGGAGGGGCAGGGACGGGACCACTAGAGGAAGAAAAAATAGTGGTAAGACTGGTAGTGGGAATAGTAGTGGAAGGAATAGTGGTAGCAGAAAGTAGGGAGAGTAGTTTAGTGGCACAAGGGAGAAAGGGGAGTGAAGGGAGGCAATAGTAATGGTAGTTGGGGTGTTGAGGAGAGGTGTGGGATTAAAAGATAACACAAAGTGGGAGTTATCATAGTTGCTTTTCGCCGATGACACTGTGCTTTTGGGTGCTTCTGAAGAGAAGCTGCGAAGATTGGCATACGAATTTGGAAGGGTATGTAAAAGGAAATTAAAAGTGAATATAGAAAAGAGCAAGTTGATGAGAGTAACAAAAGGTCAACTGGAAGGAGTATAGAGGAAGCAAATGTATTGAAGAACTTGGGAGTGGACATGTCAGCGGATGGGTCTGCGATAGACAAGGCGAACCACAGAATAGATAAAAGAGAAAAAAAGATGGGTGGAATGTTGAGGCATCTGTGAAGAATTTACCTGTTGGGACAAAGGGAAACAAAAGTTCCAGAGTATAGTTTTACCAACACTTTCACATGAGTGTAAAGTATGGTGTTTAAACGTTGTAGCAAGAAGGTAGTTTTGGAGGCAGTTAAAATGTCATGTTTGACAGAAATGTATGTTGCATATATTATGCAGAGAATGAGGGTAGAAATTAAAGGAGTGTGAGTTATGGAAGGCTGAGGAGGTGTTATTGGCCAGGTGTTATGACCAGAAGTAGGTCTGGGGTGGAAAGGAGAGGTAGGGGTCCTCCTAGAAAGGGTTGGAGGATGTGGAAGAGGTTTTAAATAGTATGGGATCGAACATCCAGCAGGCGTGTGCGAGCGTGCTAAACCGGAGTTAGTGGAGACAAGTGGTTTTTTAGAACTTGACGCACTGTTGGAGTGTGGGCAAGGTGACATGGTCTCAGGGGGACACCTCCTCCATCAGGGAAACCTCCACCACCCCTCTCACAACACCCCTTCTAACTCCCCTCTCTTTACCCCTCAGGTGGAGGTGATAGAAGAGGCTATCAAGTACATAGACGAACTTCACACAGCGCTTATACAAAGGTTTAGAGCTCGTGGTCTCCCAGCCACACTCAAAGGTGAGTTGCTAAATTAATTATTTAATCTGTTCCTTCCTTTATCGTGAGTCTTTGACCTGTTCCTCTATCGTGAGTCTTTGACCTGTATCTTCCATTATCATAAGTTCCTCAAACCTGTTTCTTCCTCTCTCTTCAGCCGCTGCTGATAATAAACAGGAAACAAACCAGGTCTTATTAAATAAAAGGAGGAATGGAATTTATAAGTGAGGTATGAGTGGACGGAATTGATGGGTATCAACTACGTCTATTACACTAGCACCCCTTGTGCCATAGTTATTCTACTCTGCTGGTACTGACGTAGCTGCGTCAACCACTAGTTCTACCTGCAGGTATAAATGTTACCAACAGTGAGCTACGGGAAAGCTTAAGGATTTCTTGAAGGGTGTGGATGCCCCCTACGGCCCGATTCCAGACCAGGCGAACACGAAGGGGATATCTGTGGTAACTACCCAGGAAGAACTTGGACTAGCAAAACAATATGTTTGCTAAGTAAGTAAGTAAGTTTATTCAGATATACACAAATACAATTACCCGCACAGTGGTTGTAAAACAATATTGGAAACCCAGAGGAAACCTGGGGGGTTCCAGTACTGGAAGAGAGTAACTTTTTTCTTTTGCTACAATTTCTGTTGGTCCACAACTGAAGGTTCTTAATCACATTTATGTTGCATCTCGTATGACGGAGTTTCAGCTCCGTGTTTACTGTAAATTCCGTTTTATAAAGATGTTTTTGAGTGTCTCAGAGAGAGATGATGATGATGAAGTAAAATGGAAAAGAGAGAAGAACAGAGAAGGAAGGAGGGAAGGGAGGAAGAGGGAAAGAGAGAAGGGAGGAGAGAAGAACAGAGAAGGAGAGAAGGAAGGAGGGGGACCCCGCGTGCCTTCACCATACATGGAACCTCGTGCTGAACTCCACCCATACCCACCCGCCCACCACCTGCCGCCCACTGCTAGCCTGGTGGTGCTAGTGGTGATACTGGTGATGGTGGTGCTAGTGGTGATACTGGTGATGGTGGTGCTGCTGGTAATGTTGGTGGTGATACTGATGATGGTGATACTGGTGATGGTGGTGCTAGTGGTGATACTGGTGGTGGTGGTGCTGCTGGTAATGTTGGTGGTGATACTGGTGATGGTGATACTGGTGATGGTGGTGGTGATACTGGTGATGGTGGTGCTAGTGGTGATACTGGTGATGTGGTGCTAGTGGTGATACTGGTGATGGTGGTGCTAGTGGTCATACTGATGTTGGTGGTGCTGCTGGTAATTTTGGGTGGTGATACTGATGATGGTGATACTGGTGGTGGTCGTGGTAATGGTGGTGGTCGTGGTAATGGTGTGGTCGTGGTAATGGGGGTGGTCGTGGTAATGGTGGTGGTCGTGGTAATGGTGGTGGTGGTAGTAGTGGTAGTAGTGGTGGTGATACTGGTGGTAGTGGTAGTAGTGGTGGTGGTGGTGATACTGGTGGTGGTGGTAGTAGTGGTGGTGATACTGGTGTAGTGGTAGTAGTGGTGTGGGGGTGATACTGGTGGTGGTGGTAGTAGTGGTGGTAGTAGTGGTGGTGATACTGGTGGTGGTGGTGGTAGTGATACTGGTGGTAGTGGTGGTGATACTGGTGGTGGTGGTGGTGGTGGTGGTAGTAGTGGTGGTGAACCACCACCCGCCTGGTCAACCAGGTTGTTGGTGCTGTTCAACCACACTCTGGCTTCCCCCACCTGGCCTTTGCTAGGCTACAGAAAATCCTTCCGACCTCCTAAGACGGTTCGCTAAACCTGTGTGGGTTATCCAACTCACTAAGGATCAATAATCCAGGATAACAGTAAAAAAACCAAGCTGTGTGTGTGTCTATCCTGAGGGTTAGTAACCCAGGATAGCCAGTGTACCCTGTGGGGTTAGTAACCCAGGATAGCCAGTGTACCCTGTGGGGTTAGTAACCCAGGATAGCCAGTGTACCCTGTGGGGTTAGTAACCCAGGATAGCCAGCGTGTACCCTGTGGGGTTAGTAACCCAGGATAGCCAGTGTCTACCCTGTGGGGTTAGTAACCCAGAATAGCCAGTGTCTACCCTGTGGGGTTAGATAACCCAGGATAGCCAGTGTCTACCCTGTGGGGTTAGTAACCCAGGATAGCCAGTGTCTACCCTGTGGGGTTAGTAACCCAGGATAGCCAGTGTCTACCCTGTGGGGTTAGTAACCCAGGATAGCCAGTGTCTACCCTGTGGGGTTAGTAACCCAGGATAGCCAGTGTCTACCCTGTGGGGTTAGTAACCCAGGATAGCCAGTGTGTACCCTGTGGGGTTAGTAACCCAGGATAGCCAGTGTGTACCCTGTGGGGTTAGTAACCCAGGATAGCCAGTGTGTACCCTGTGGGGTTAGTAACCCAGGATAGCCAGTGTACCCTGTGGGGTTTGTAACCCAGGATAGCCAGTGTGTACCCTGTGGGGTTTGTAACCCAGGATAGCCAGTGTGTACCCTGTGGGGTTTGTAACCCAGGATAGCCAGTGTCTACCCTGTGGGGTTTGTAACCCAGGATAGCCAGTGTGTACCCTGTGGGGCTTGTAACCCAGGATAGCCAGTGTCTACCCTGTGGGGGTTGTAATCCAGGATAGCCAGTGTGTACCCTGTGGGGTTTGTAACCCAGGATAGCCAGTGTGTACCCTGTGGGGTTTGTAACCCAGGATAGCCAGTGTGTACCCTGTGGGGTTTGTAACCCAGGATAGCCAGTGTGTACCCTGTGGGGTTTGTAGCCCAGGATAGCCAGTGTGTACCCTGTGGGGTTTGTAACCCAGGATAGCCAGTGTGTACCCTGTGGGGTTAGTAACCCAGGATAGCCAGTGTGTACCCTGTGGGGTTAGTAACCCAGGATAGCCAGTGTGTACCCTGTGGGGTTAGTAACGCAGGATAGCCAGTGTGTACCCTGTGGGGTTTGTAACCCAGGATAGCCAGTGTGTACCCTGTGGGGTTTGTAACCCAGGATAGCCAGTGTGTACCCTGTGAGGTTTGTAACCCAGGATAGCCAGTGTCTACCCTGTGGGGTTTGTAACCCAGGATAGCCAGTGTGTACCCTGTGGGGTTTGTAACCCAGGATAGCCAGTGTCTACCCTGTGGGGTTTGTAATCCAGGATAGCCAGTGTCTACCCTGTGGGGTTTGTAACCCAGGATAGCCAGTGTGTACCCTGTGGCGTTTGTAACCCAGGATAGCCAGTGTGTACCCTGTGGGGTTTGTAACCCAGGATAGCCAGTGTGTACCCTGTGGGGTTTGTAACCCAGGATAGCCAGTGTGTACCCTGTGAGGTTTGTAACCCAGGATAGCCAGTGTCTACCCTGTGGGGTTTGTAACCCAGGATAGCCAGTGTGTACCCTGTGGGGTTTGTAACCCAGGATAGCCAGTGTGTACCCTGTGGGGTTTGTAACCCAGGATAGCCAGTGTCTACCCTGTGGGGTTTGTAATCCAGGATAGCCAGTGTCTACCCTGTGGGGTTTGTAACCCAGGATAGCCAGTGTGTACCCTGTGGCGTTTGTAACCCAGGATAGCCAGTGTGTACCCTGTGGGGTTTGTAACCCAGGATAGCCAGTGTGTACCCTGTGGGGTTTGTAACCCAGGATAGCCAGTGTGTAAACCCTGTGAGGTTTGTAACCCAGGATAGCCAGTGTCTACCCTGTGGGGTTTGTAACCCAGGATAGCCAGTGTGTACCCTGTGGGGTTTGTAACCCAGGATAGCCAGTGTCTACCCTGTGGGGTTTGTAATCCAGGATAGCCAGTGTCTACCCTGTGGGGTTTGTAACCCAGGATAGCCAGTGTGTACCCTGTGGCGTTTGTAACCCAGGATAGCCAGTGTGTACCCTGTGGGGTTTGTAACCCAGGATAGCCAGTGTGTACCCTGTGGGGTTTGTAACCCAGGATAGCCAGTGTGTACCCTGTGGGGTTTGTAACCCAGGATAGCCAGTGTGTACCCTGTGGGGTTTGTAACCCAGAATAGCCAGTGTCTACCCTGTGGGGTTTGTAACCCAGGATAGCCAGTGTGTACCCTGTGGGGTTTGTAACCCAGGATAGCCAGTGTACCCTGTGGGGTTTGTAACCCAGGATAGCCAGTGTCTACCCTGTGGGGTTTGTAACCCAGGATAGCCAGTGTCTACCCAGTGGGGTTTGTAACCTAGGATAGCCAGTGTCTACCCTGTGGGGTTTGTAACCCAGGATAGCCAGTGTCTACCCTGTGGGGTTTGTAACCCAGGATAGCCCACTAGTGTCTACCCTGTGGGGTTTGTAACCCAGGATAGCCAGTGTGTACCCTGTGGGGTTTGTAACCCAGGATAGCCAGTGTGTACCCTGTGGGGTTTGTAACCCAGGATAGCCAGTGTCTACCCTGTGGGGTTTGTAACCCAGGATAGCCAGTGTGTACCCTGTGGGGTTTGTAACCCAGGATAGCCAGTGTCTACCCTCTGGGGTTTGTAACCCAGGATAGCCAGTGTCTACCCAGTGGGGTTTGTAACCCAGGATAGCCAGTGTCTACCCTGTGGGGTTTGTAACCCAGGATAGCCAGTGTCTACCCTATGGGGTTTGTAACCCAGGATAGCCAGTGTGTACCCTGTGGGGTTTGTAACCCAGGATAGCCAGTGTGTACCCTGTGGGGTTTGTAACCCAGGATAGCCAGTGTCTACCCTGTGGGGTTTGTAACCCAGGATAGCAGTGTCTACCCTGTGAGGTTTTGTAACCCAGGATAGCCCAGTGTCTACCCTGTGGGTTTGTAACCCAGGATAGCCAGTGTCTACCCTGTGAGGTTTGTAACCCAGGATAGCCAGTGTCTACCCTGTGGGGTTTGTAACCCAGGATAGCCAGTGTCTACCCTGTGGGGTTTGTAACCCAGGATAGCCAGTGTCTACCCTGTGGGGTTTGTAACCCAGGGTAGCCAGTGTGTACCCTGTGGAGTTTGTAACCCAGGATAGCCAGTGTGTACCCTGTGGGGTTTGTAACCCAGGATAGCCAGTGTGTACCGTGTGCGGTTTG